GCCTTCTAATCATTCGCAACCGTCATATCAGTTCGCTTATTCAAACGTGCTATTACTTGTAAAAATTTTTCTGAATATAGGTAATAAAAATGACAGCATTGAAAAAATTGCTCGTGCGTTAGCATGCACTATTGCCATCCCGTTTTGACACGGCCCATTCATTCTATTCGTAATCAATATTTATGAAATTAAATACACAGTTTTCAATACCAATTGCTTTGTGGCGTGGATATTTTTTCATATTTTATCTACTCCCAACTTGAACAGTTTTGGTTAAGTTTGGCTAGGTTAGGTTCCACTCTTTTGCCGTATTAATTGAAGATGAGAGGATGTGAATATAAAAAAACATCGATACTGCTCAATGAGTATTTACATGTCTGCATTAAATTTCATATCTATTGCTAACGAATGGAGAAAAAATCGTGCCGAAGTGGCGTCAAGAAGGCTACGCTATGCCACGCTTATGGGATGGCCCACACACTTCTGTCAGACCAGTCGTGTTGACAATTTTTGGATGATTTTTTTGGAAAGAATTTTCATAGCAGGTATAATAAGCATAATTAAGTAATTTCAATCATGATAAAGCTAAGAAAAAAGCTATATACAGACAATATTCTTTGCGAGCGCTGTAAAAATTAATTTCAAATTTAACTAGCGTGATAAAAGCAAATTTGTAGCACATTTCATGCACATAAGTTTTTATAATCGAAACCGAGCTTAACCTTTCCAACAACGAAGCTATTTATTCAAAATACACTACAGCATATATAAGACCTCTCAGACACTTACGACCGGGCTTGCGATCTACAAGTTTCAGTAGCCTAAAATATCTCCCAAACTAATGAACGTAGCTCGATTAAACTTTGCACGCGTCTTCACTAACATTGATGTTTAGATCGTGATTATTTTTTAATTGTGCCTTTAATTAAAGGTACACAAAAAGCCTGTGCATGAGGATAGGAGATATGTTAGGCTCACTGCAAATTTAGAACCGTATAAGGCGCTACGATGGTGAAATTGAAAAAAATGATCATGACCTAAACATCACCGTTTTTTGAAAATTTGCTAAGTTCATTAGTTTGGGAGATATTTTAGGCTTAATGAGGAAAATTAATTAATGCAGGGAAGAAGTGAAAAAAATGATCATTTATCACCTTAATTTGTTCGAGGGCATTGCGAATGAATAGTTTCGTTTGTAATTTGGTAAAGATCGCTTTTAATTTCATAAAATAACGCGTGGAAAACGTGCCATGAAAATTTGTCATGAAAGTTTATCTTAGAAATTTGTTCACACAGTGTCGGATTGATATATCATTTGCGAAAACCCCCTCAACACAGTGTTTGCTCTAAATCAGGAATTAAATCGAAAGCGGAATCCGGAAGGGAAATCTGGATAGGCAAGCACTTGAATGTCTCCTCCTATGACAAACGCGCCAGTTATTTCTTTTCTGAACGAGAGAACATAAGCTAAATATGAACTTAAAGTCCAAACGGCCAATCATAGCTCGATGCGTGTTGTCGATATACGGTATGTGTTGCCAGCTGCAGCCAGCCAGCAGTGCGTTTTGAACTGGCGCCGCGTATGGTTGTTGATGCATGTGCTTCCAGTCATGCACTGTCGTCTGCCTTGATTCTACTAGCGTATGAGTCAGAGGTGTCTGGTGCGTAAAAACTAAGATTTTTGTTGACTGTTTTTAATGAATTGTATTATGATTGTTTAACATTCGCATTCATAAATTTAGTCTGCAATGCATAGGCTTAATTTGCGTTCAGAAATGGGATGTTTACCCTAAAAAAAAGTGTTCTCGATTGCCAATATGCACATGCATGGACATGCACATTCTCGATTGCCACTATGCACATGCATGCATGTGCATTTACATGCACATGCATGTAAATAAATTTGCGCCTCATAAATGGCTTTTCATGGCTGACTGCCTAGATATGGAATTCACGGCACGGTGAAATGGAATCGCGGCTTGAAGAAATGGAATCACGGCTGGTAAATCCATAAAACCGAGGCTCAAAAAATTCAGTCGCGGCTCGCCAAGTAGACATATTCCATGCCTGTGACAAGGTGGCCCAGTGGTTACAGTTCAGAGTAGCTACCAAGATTGGCGCAGAGAGGATTCAGGATTGGGTTTGATCCTCAATTGGCAAGGAGGCCGGTCGGTTAAGCAGAGCCATAGTGTCGAAGTGGAGACTTTTTAAAATAAGTTCATTTTTAATTCCCTCATTTACTCAAGATTTAAACCAATATCTTATCATTCTTATGTATGATAATGTTAGTATCCATGATGCTTTTCTGATCTATCTAGGGTAAACGCAGTATATTCCGACATCGTGGGTAATTCCGACACCTCTCTAGTTTTTCCTTTATATTAAGCTTTGTCTTAGTTCCACGCATTTGTTGATTTTAGAAATAGTGATGTCATACCTTTGCACGCCAAACTATTGCCAAAACACTAGGTTTGGGCCGTCTGGTGGGAAAATGTTGAGATCCAAAGAGAGACACTGCATGCCACCGCAGCCACCCAGTGAGATCATTGAAAAATGTGTCAAGTTGAAAGTTGACCTTGCTCTACCAAATAGTGATAAACTGTTTGTGTAGAAAGAATATTATGGTTTGAGACTTTTAAATATGTCTGTGAATATATTAGGAATCCTTTAAGTATACAGTATACTTGTATTTGTGGATTTCAAGTGGTAGATAAATTAATAGCTGCTTAAGTTAAGAAACTGACTTAGACACATAAAAACTAATTCTGACACAACTTGAATTGGACACACACAGCTTGTTCCAAGCTGTGCGCAAAAATTAAAATTTTCTTAATTAAAAGCTTAATAGCTGTTAATTAAAAGCCTAATTAAGGAGTGTTCAATATTCAATAGTGTTCTAATTCAAAGCCGTGTTGTATTCCAATACAGCTCACACAGCGATCGGAATTCGAACACAAGGATGTCGGAATTACGTATTAGTAGAGTTTGAAGCACGGCTGGAATTCGTCTCACAACGTGCTGAATTTAGTCACACATAGCGTCGGAATATAGGGATTTGGTAGGTTTGCATTCTGAAGGCTTTTAAATAAATATGGCAACACTTTGTGACGTTTCATCATTGCTGGTGCTTAGTGCAGTGTTTTGAGAGTTGCGTAAAGCAAACAGAACTCGAGTAACGCATACGGTTATTTTTTTATAGTTTTTCATTTCTCGATGCGTCCTTAATGTGTCGGAATATACCGTGTTCACCTATAGTATAGGACTCAAAATTGAACTTGAGAAAGAGTCTAAAAAAACTCCCTGCTTTGCCACTCTTTCCCACCATGAATTGCAGAGCAAAATTGAAGCAGTGAGTTGTGCATTTGAGACCGCAATGAGCTGTGAATATTCTGCGATGTTAAGAATTGGCAACAGGCTTACGGCAAAATGAACCACTATTATTATTATTATTATTGATATGATATTACAATATCCATACATTACCATATATTATTGATGTGATATTACCATAATTACCTAATCCATTATCCATCATCTATGGACATGCCATTGACATTGAGCACTGACAACAACCTTGTTCACTGCAAGCTTCATATCACTATCAGCAGCCGTATAGCATTTCTTCTGTAGCTGAACTTACAGGATGGCTTGTAATTCAGGAACATTTTAATTGAGATTTGAGTCAAGTGAATTCACTTTTTTATTTCACTATTGCAAAAAAACAAGAGATTCTAAAAAACTTACCTGAAACGGAAAGGAATATTTTAGGGACAACCATAATATTTTTTTGAGAAAAATCACAGTTTAGGTTAATTACTTATCATTCTATGTTGTCCAGTGAACAATTCTATCTATGACATTCTAGGAACATTTTTGTGATGACTGATGATGCATTAATTTTTTTGTTAAGTGAAATTTTTTTTGCTCAGCAAGGTAAATGTAATCAAAATTCTTTGTAGTTGTTTGATTTTTTTTTTGTTGACTGGAGCCTTAGCTAGCCAAGGTTCTACTGTAAATGCATTTTTAGGGGTGCCCCTTATTACCTGTCATGCAGAAATGGCTGCCATTTTTTTTAATGATCCATGCAAATTCTGTCAATCCAAAATCTCACTTGTACACTTTTTTTCAGCGATTTTTAGAGATAGTAAACATTTGATTTCTTGACTAGCTTTATACATAATAGATAGTAACATTTCTACGAAATGTGGGACGCGCGGCCTGATTTACCCCACCTGTCCCTTTTTACCCCATTTGATGGTATTGCAACTATTTTCAATCTGTTAATGGCAGGGTGTGTACCGGTCATGGAAAACCTGGAAAGTAATGGAATTGAATTGTTCATTTTTCAGGCCTGAAAAGTCATGGGATTTCATTTCAGGTTATGGGAAGTCATGGAATTTGCAAATAAATGAAGAAAAAAGGGAGGTGTTTTTCTGTGCTGTGTTTGTTAACCCATTAATGCCGAGTGGTTCCATTTGGAACCAGCATACAAAATGGATTCATAATAAAATTGTAAGATCAAATAAATATACAAGTGGATGCGTAGATTTGATAAACATCATGTACATGTGCTGGCAAAGTTTGGTTCTGCTGCGCCGACTACTCTCTTTCAGTTAACATTCAAAGATTACTAGTACCAGGTGATGAAAAAGTCATGGAATTTTTTTCTAAATACCGGTACGCACCCTGTAATGGGATGTTCCATTGGTCCAAGATTGATTTGTTTTAATGCTTCTCTCACACATGTATACCTATAGTCAGATAATCAAATCAAAATCAGGAAATATTGTCAATGAGTAATAAGCAGGACTAGACCATGTATAACTGAAACAATTTTTTAATTCCACATCTTTTCATAATATTTTCAACCTGGAAAAGCTATAATCATGCAGCTATAAGCATGAAATGCTTCACTCCATTGTCAAATTATTATTTTGCAAACCCAATAACTAACCAAAAATGAGAAATTAATTCCTTAAAATTTTTTATTTCTCTACAGATATATTAATTTTAAGTTTGACTTCACAGAGCCATGATCATTGAACATTCACTATTAAAAATCTTATAGATTTATCATTTGAGGTTAATTCAAGATGTTGAAGGATCCCTTAGACATGGAGCTGGGAAATGATGACATGGACAAAGTTGCTGGTATTCCTGTGGTGCCTCTGGATGTCTACACTGCAGCTAGTATTGGCAATTGTGCCTCTATTAGTGAGGCTCTGGAAATGTGAGATTACTTCAGTAAATTTATTTAATGATAATTAATCACCCACTATGTTATTTTCATATTATGTACTATGTACTTCTATGTCATTGCTATGCTCCCAGCATTGTAGAACCATATGAATGGATTACAGAATTTTGTAGAGAATGAAAGTGTTAACACTAGAATTGATATTTTTGCAGTAGCATTGGAGCTCAGGAAGAATGTGAAATACCCTCTTACTAATAAATTTATCTCATTTAATAATAAATTTTATCTCATTTACTAATAAATTTTATCTCATTTACTAAAAAATTTTCTCATTTACTAATAAATCATTCTCATTTATACATTCATTGTCTCCGTATGGTAATGAAGTTGATATATTTGTGACAAAAAGCATCACTATGTTGCTTAGAATCCTGAATTGAGCTATGTTAAATAAGAAGAATTTAAATGTTCTGCACATGCTGAGAAAGTTCACTCAATGTTTACTTACAATTCTAGGAACCCTGAGTGTCTGCATGCTTGCAACAAAGGTGGCTGGACAGCCCTAATGTATGCTGCTCACTACGGGCATCATGAAGCGGTGCTGCTACTGCACTCACGTGGTGCCTCTGTGCACACCAAGACTGGCGAGGGGTGCACTGCTCTCATGCTTGCTGCTGGCTGTGGCCAAACTATGACAGTCAAAGTCCTCCTTGAGGTGACAACAAAGTTCAATGAATTTAACAATAACCATTAACACTGCACTTTCAGAACAAAATGTAATATTAACGCGTTGACTACGTATTGGTACATATGCGTGCCATGAAATGTGGTTTCTCCAGGAGGTAGTGGTACATTATTCAGGTTGCCTAAAATTGGCCAAAACCAAGAACAAAAAAGGCCAAAAAGGACAATAATTCAAGGTATACCTACTAGTTTATTTGTAGGTTCCGCTATAAAAATTCCATTTATTTTATTTGTGCAGTATTTAAAATTTAATTAGGAAGTACCCCTATCATAAATTTAGCCACCCAATGCAATTGAGAAAAACTAAATCACAGAATTTGTCCGAAAAAAATGACCATCTGGCAACCCTGCTTAAAAAAGTACAAAAAATGAAATAATAGTACAAGATGAAGCAATTGTAGTCAATGTGTTAAAATGTTTCAACATGCAAAATTCCTTAACACCATCAGACACAAATATTTATACAGTTGGAAAATACCAACATTGTTGCAATTTTTATAATAAATGATATGTCCTTTCCTCTTGATAACGTCCAGCAGTCTCTTGCTACAGTTTTAGATGGGATTGGCAGTGGTATCTGGCAGGATATTATCCTGGTGGACATTATTATTGATGACGTCTTTAAAGACATCATTTACTGCCATTCAAGTACAAACTTCAAAATGGGCAAGATGAAGGAGCTCAGTGTGGATTTGAGAAGCAAAATTATTGACCAGGGGCCGTATTATCAAAACTTTGTAACTTTTTGTACTTCCGACAAAAAAGTTACGTGTTATGTAACTTCGTAAGTATACCCTAATATTGGCATTATCAAAACATTCGTACGTAAGACTTAGCTAAAAGCGTACTATCAAAATCATCTGGCCAACTGACCAATCAGAGGTTTTGGATTTGTTTACATTCTGTGAACTTCGATGGCGGGAATCGATGCCTTTGATGATATCGACTATCAAATGCTGTCTGTTGGTATTGCTCCTTGTTGGCCCAGAAAAGGCCATTTTAAAATAGTTGTTAACTCTTTTTAATAAACAGCGTGAGTTGAAGAAGAAATCTGTGTACGGAGCTAAAAATTATGGTTGGCAGAGATATAAAGTACATACTAGAAGGAATGAATGATGCGAGTTGGGCTTGTAAAATATAACGTAATATGCATTTGCTTGTAAAATATAACGTAATATGCATTTGCTTGTAAAATATAACGTAATATGCATTTGCTTGTAAAATATAACGTAAAAGGAAAACAAAATCAGTTTCTGGCATTAACTCAATTGAATTTTTTTTCAATAGCACTGTTTAGCACGATCACATTGTTAGGGGCCACATGCTTGATCGTGCAAATGTTCCACGATCAAGTAGTGGAGATATCACAAGTAGAGCCATCTTTCTATGCGTGTATAATCTGTGCTGTCGGATTTTTGACAAAATTCTATCACAAGTCAAGGTGTTGCTACTTGCTAGTAAATCAATAGTTTCCTATCGCTTCAGCAGACACTCTAAACTTGTGGGGAACTTTACTTACGACATCTCCGAGCAGGCGTACAGTTACGTTACGTATCTTCCCGCGCAAATGTTTTGATAATACAACCTCTAGAGTTACGTCATCAAGTCAGCACTTACGACACTCGTAAGTCAATTTTGCGCACTTACGAAGTTTTGATAATATGGCCCCTGAACACATCTGGCAATGGTTATTGGTGCATCTCAAGATGCCTGAATATTCCAAGATCCACAGTACAGGGAGTGAAAAAGATGTTTGTAGAGTTTGGTACTGCACACACGTTGCCTGGACAAGGATGGAAGCAAAAACTATCAGCACAATTAGTTCAAAAATGGTGTCGTGAGGTAAATATGAATCCAAGGGTGATGTTGAAGAACATTGCCCATAGATTAGCCAGGGAGGAAACGAGTGTGAGTCAGCGCGCCATATAGCATTGTCTCAACAAGAATGGCCTGCATGGACCCAGACCTGGGCAAGTCCCACTTCACACATAACGTCATGTTGCTGCTCGTTTGACATTTGCATGATCTTATGTGGGCAAGAAAGAAGGCTTTTGGAACCAAGTATTATAACTGTCAAAACAAAAATTGTGCAATTGTCCTTTTCTGGACATAATAATCTGAAGAAGGTTTTATGCAAAAAAGGTAGGCTTTCCTTCAGAAAAAACACAATCCCAACAATCAAGCATGGTGGTGAATTGACAATGTTTTGCTGTTGTTTCTCCTCAAGTGGCACTGGGAAGTTGGTTTCAATTGATGGAACTATGAACTCAGATGTTTATGTCTTTTGAAGGAAAACCTGCAAACATCTGATCTGAATTTGGGTCTTGGAGGATGGTGGATCTTTCAGCAAGAAGATTTGAAGTATATGTAAGAAGCTATAACCACTTGGCTTGATAAAACAAAGGTGACTGTTTTTCCATGACCTTCAAATAGCTCCAACTTGATGCCGATTGAGAATTTATTGCAAGTATTGAAAATTAGAATCAGCTCCCAGGAATCGCCAAGAAATGGAACAATTTGCAATTGAAGAGTGGGATAATATCCAACAGGATACCATTGCGAATGTTATCAAAAACTATAGAAAAAGACTACTGGAGGTTATCAAGATGAAAAGACATGCAATTCATTATCAATATTACGAATATATTGGTATTTTGCAACTGTAAAAATAATTATGTCCGAAGGTAGGTATTGGGAAATTTTTGCTAAATGTTTTCAAATTACATTTTGTTTTGAAAATGTAGTGTTATTTTCCCTATTACATACTGTTTAGTTCTATCAAGTCTTGGGCTAATACATTCATTTAATTTGGAGTTTTTCTAGAAAACATTGGAAACAAAGGGGATGTACAAATAATTTTGTTGCAAACTAGGTATGTATTTATGAGCCAATTGCCTGAATATATATTATATATATTCAGTAATTACTTTTATATAAATATAAATTATTTCATAAATCATATAATATATAATATTATATGATTTAGGATATAATTTATATGATATTGTCTACATGTATATTATATTTGTCTATAATTAAATATAATTACCAACAAGTATTTTATATATACCGTATATCAAATACTTGTTAAAATATATATATTAAAAATAATTATTTAATTTCAAAAGATGTTAGTCGTATTGTAAGTGAAATTAAATTTAAAAACCAAAGAGTAAAGTTATTAACATAACATAAATTAATACATATGCTGCAGATTTACGAGCCGTAATAATATTTTCTAACACCAAGTTCATATCAAATCTATCCATAAATATTAAATTTTCTGATATAATTTGTTGTGACGTTTTAATTAAAAATGATTCATAAATGCTATTGATAGATTCTTGGCTAATTAACGGAATTTTTGCAATTTTGCTAATTGTTGTTTTATAGCAATCAGCCCTTGCACTTTATCATTAGCATTTACCAGTTTCAATAATGATCTAGTTTGCCCTTCTGAGCTAAACATCTCATAATTGACCAAGGATTATAAATGACTTCTCCACCAAAATTATAGCCATTATACCAATTTTTAATTTGTTCTGGATTGGTTTCAAGAGGTACTTTGGTTAATAATTCATCAACTTCTGCTTGAGTAAAGCCATAGATGTCTGTAAAATTCTCATCTAGTAGACTACATTCAGTTGAATTATTCAAATCTGAAAACAAATTAGCTTTAGCAACACGCAATATGCTGATAATGACGCCTTTTTGTAATGAATCATTGGTTTTAAGACTATTGCCAAATATTGCCCGGAATAGAGCTAATACTTCCTCAAACTCTTCTGAATTAAGACCTAATATGAGGTTTGTGCCTATCAAAACTGTAGAGCAACAAGATATTTTATTTATTCATAGGGTAAGACAACGGATTGGTAAAAAATCGTACTGCACTTGCTAATGAGATCAGGGGATTATTACATGAATTTGGTTTTGTTATACCACAAGGAATCAATAAGATTATGACAAAATAAACTGAAATTTTAGATGAAGAGGGTTTAAGCCAGCTAAGTTATCGAACGTTTAGTGAGTTAAAAGAAGAATTTCTAGAGAATAATAAAAAAATAAAAGAATTAGAAGAAAGATTAAAAATTATAGCTAGCCAGTATAGTAATCACCAACAACTAATGACGATACCAGGTATAGGGTTAGTAAAGTTTGTAGCTAGCTGTACAAACTAGTTGTTGACTAGATAATATTATAGGTAAATAGAAATTTAATAGATTCTAATCCGGAATATGCGAAAGAATGATAATATTGATGGTAAATAAGACGAACCTTAGCTTACGAGAAAACTGAAATAGTCAATGGCTCGTTAGAAGTCGATGAATTGATAAGTATAAGTTTGTAAGCCAGCGAATTCCATCAGGGCTATAGGGTAAATTTAAGGTAATTTATTAACTATAAGCCTGTACATGACTGCATTCGATTTTATCCTAAAATAAATTTAAGCAAGAGGAATTATATAATATTGTAGGTATTATATTATATATATATTAAATTATTATATAATATAATAATTTCATTAACACCATCATTAAACAACTCCTTGGTATTTTGTTCTGGAAACAACTTCCTGCCCAATATAACAACCCTTACTGTAACTTATAGCATTTAACTCCTCAGCCCCATATTCAATGGGAATAGTTTCCGTATCGCTTTTTAACGATGCAACTAACAGTTTGCGTGAATATTGCCGATGATATTTGGGATTGCGAGAATGATAATGCCGAACAGCCTTATGCCAAGAACCGTGCTGCTTATATAAACCAGTTAGTAGCCGAGCTGCATAATTAATATTCTTGTTAGGTGTCAACATTTCAACTATTGAGGTGAAGTTTTAACCATGCCAGAAGTAATTGAGCTGCATCACGCCAATATCAATATTCTGCTTTCCTTTCTGTAAATATTGCTCAGCAATGTTCTTAGCTTGCTCTACTGAATTACTTATGACCAATTTGCCTGAAAGATTTAATGAATATGGTTGATAATTAGACTCTACATCAGTGTTAAGATAATTATATTAAATAATTTATATATTATTTAATATAATTATCTTAAATTTATTATTATACAATAAATTTAAGATAATTAATATATAATAATTTGTATTTAATTGTTAAATTAATACAAATTAATTTTATATGTAATGTATTTAATTATATTTTTTTTATTTTATAATAGATATATATATATATATATATATAGATATTTAAAAGTAAAAGAATCATAGTAAAAGTAATTCTTTTATAATAAATAGATAATATATAATTTTTTATCCCTCTCTATAATACAATTAATATCATGTATTGGTAATATCCTATGATCGACATGATCTTTCCAATGCACTAAATATTTCACTACACAATCAAATTCCTGCCCTTGATTATTGCATTTAATATAATTATATTTATTTATATAATAGAGATTGTATATTAATTATTATATTAAAATAATATAATAAATAATATATATATAATATATATTATTTATTACAATTCATATTATAGCCCAGTTGATGACCATCATTGAAATTGCCATAATCATCCAAATTGTTAATAATACTCCAGCTGTTCCCACTGCAATATATCACTGTTGAAGCTTACTAACTGTTGTATACCTCTGAATAGTTAATCATTATTTTGACCATTTAAATGTTTGGAAACCAAATGAAATTGCTGTGCAAAATGACTAGTAAAATAATCAATTTCCATCACATTAAATGTTACTTATTATGACTTACTTTGTACTTGCGAAATATATTTGAACTAATTCTCTATTTAAATTATCTAGTGTGGGAGTTTACTGGAGGCTCGTGACAAGCAGAGCTGGACTGCCGTGTTCCATGCAGTGCAGTCTCGACACCCTGCAGTGCTGGAACTGCTGCTCACCAGTGGTGCCAATGCCATGGCCTGGTGAGGCGATTGCTGATTTAATTTTTAAAATAAATTTGTCATTTATTACTTGAGATGATTATTATGCTTGCATTTGTTAACGATTGTAAAGTTTAAAATGAAATTTATATTGAAATAACGGAATTTTGGCTTCACTTATATTCAGTGTTGGTGAATGTAAAGGCAGGAATGTTCTGTTCAGAATTCTGATACCACTGTTTCTCATGACTTTTATTACAATTTAATTACATATAATTTCTTGTACAGTGAGCCACAAAAAGGTGAGACAGCTCTCCAGTTTGGCATCCGTGCTAATGACCTAGATTTGGTGCAGCTACTGCTGAAGTACGGCGCTGATCCTACGGTGCCGGATCACTGTGGCGAAACTCCCTTTTGTCTTGCTTCTAGACTCAAGCACAAGACTGTTGCTGACACCATCGCCCAGGCCGTGGCCACACGAGGTTGGGATTTATGGACAAGATGTTTGACCTTAACTTCATAATAAAATTAAATTCATCATCTGCTCATTTTGCTCCGTAAGCTCTTGTCAACAAGTTCATTATTAATTTGTTACTGAGATGAATGAAGTTTTGTGACCGTATTCATTTGTTCTCACAGGCATCGCGGCTAGCCTCTCTCCTATAACTGCTGGTCGTGACTTCTGGCAGGGAGGCAAGTTGTCAATTTTTTGTTTGGCTAATAGTAGTGAGATTTGAGTCTTCATTCATTCCCTCACCCATGAAATGTTTAATTTATTATCTTATTTGTTGCTCAGTAATATTTTTGATATCACTGAGAGCACAGTAATTAACTGATACAGAAATTTCCTGCATTGTATAAATAAATGAGATTGTCTTGCTACCAATTTAAAGATTAGGTTATTGTTATTTGTTCATCAGACGTGTGTGAGGGCGGGGCGTCCTTTGAGCAGCTCCTGACGCAGGCGGGGCTGGGGGAATATATGGCGCTTTTTGAGGAGCAGGCCGTCGACTTGCTGGTGTTCCTCTCCCTCACTGATGCTGACCTCAAGGAGTGTGGGGTCAGGTATGTGGGGAGTGTAGGGTCAGGTATGTGGAGAGTGTGGGGTCAGGTATGTGGGGAGTGTGGGGTCTCGCTTAATTCTTCTTGAAGAGCGAGCGCATTTTCTCGTCGACGAAAACGTGATGTCACGGACGGACGGACGGACGGACATGACGAGCACAATAGGGCACTTTTTCCATAAATGAGAAAATGCGCTAAAAAGCATTACAATTTTGTGATGCCCTTGTTAGGCTCATATGTGGAGAAGTTGCCTCTCTTCTTTATTGACATCTTTATGTGATGCCTTTATTAGGTGCATGCGTGGAGAAGTTGCTCCTCTTCTTCATTGATATCTTTATCTTTATGTGATGCCTATGTTAGGTGCATGCGTGGAGAAGTTGCTCCTCTTCTTTATTGACATCTTTATGTGATGCCTATGATAGGTGCATGCGTGGAGAAGTTGCCCCTCTTCTTTATTGATATCTTTATGTGAATGTTTTGTTAGGTGCATGTGTGGGGAAGTTCAAGTGAAAATATACATTCTTTAATGTTACAAAATTGTATTTTATGTAATCATGCTGTAGGAAAATTATTGGAGGAAAATTTATTTATCAACCTCTCAGTTTGGTTCTCTCTGTTGTTGTGCGTCGTTTTTGTCAGCAAGGTCAATGGTCTCATTATGCATAAATATCTATATTCCTCCAAGATTGCTTGAGTTTATTGCAATCATTCAAAATTAGTATCTAAGCATTTCTTACATGAATTGCACTCTAACATCTGTTGTTCTTTCCTCCGGGTTTATGAAATGTATATGTTTTTGCCGTAAGGAAGATACAGTAAGTTATACTTGGAGAATAGTTTTCAAAAATTATATAACAATAAGATATTTTTATAAAAAGCTTTTTTCTAAAACATTTTTTCTTCAATAACTGTTTGCCCTGCAAAAAATGTTCAAAAGTGTTGTCTGTAAAATAACTTAATTTTATCCCTCAGTACCTAAGTATTCTTATAGCATAAAGTTACACCAGGAAAATAATTTATTTGCATTCTTCATTGCATTATTTTCTGCAGGAAAGAATTTCAACTAAGATACAGAGAGAAAAAGCTTAGTTCTACTCTTAACTAATTGTTATTATTTGTAGCAAAGGTTATCAAAGCTATAACTGGAAAATTCACTCTGCTTGATTCATTAATAAATGTTAGCTCTGAACAGGAGAATTATATTTAAGCCTTACCCAGAAAATAACTTAATTATACTTTCTAGCAAGCTGGGTCCCCGTCGCAAGATGACGTCACTGATCGCTCGGTGGCACAGAAATGCTCCCATGCGCAGCTGCAGGGAGGCCGCCTACGCTGACAAACTCCTGGTGGAGCTGCAAGAGTTGCAGCTCAAGCATGCGCAGCTCGTCAGGGATAACACGAAGCTTGCGAAGGAGGTAGGGCTTTTAAATCCATGCAATAAAAATCTCTGCCTGTAATTTTAACTTGGCCTCAATAAAAAGGAACCTGCTCGAGCGTATAACAATTTATTTCAAATTTATTTTCTCGGACTTTTTTATTTTGGAACAAAGTGTGATAGACCGTGAGCTTATCTCTACATATTTTTTTCTGTTCAAAAGTACAAATGAATCCCAGTATGTAAACAACAAATTGTCCGACAGTTTGGAGGTCGTTTCTTCAGAATTTAATTTAATTTCGAATTGAAAATTTATCCATGTGTTTGATAAGTCTGAATTTGTCTGCGTATTCGCTTTATTCTCTGTATTGTTGGGTTAGGGGTGAGGAGTACGAAGTAGGTAATCCAAGTATGGACGTTTCCATGAAAATATCCAAGTTCAAATGAATGGCAATAATAATCATTTAACTAGCAATTCGCACTTGACAGTATGTACGTAATTCAGTTCTCGTTTCAACTCCACCTATTAATGAATATCTGTGGCATTGTTGCAGCTATACCAGGAGCAGGAGCTGCGGTCGTCCACCGAGTCGCTGGTGGTCGAAGCGCGTGCTCGTCTGCACGAGTGCCACAAGTACTGCCTACTGGCCTCCAGGCAGCTCCAGGGTATCTATGATACCATCGTGTGTGCTGCTCATGACTGCGGCCCCTGCCACTGCAAGTGTAATCGGTCCGTCTCCTCCAATGGTGAACCCCGTGTCGTTGATGGCAATTATTGTCATGTTAATGGCGATGAGTTCCACGTTTATAAAGATCACATTCCAATTCAGGGAAATCCCCAATTGAAAAGAGACCTGATAATTCGTTCACAAACGAAAAAGGACTATGATGATCAAATGCGCGTGCTTGACCTGCTTCCAAATGATAATATAGCGCATGCATGCAAAGCAAATGCTGTGATGAACAGTAACGATTTAAAGACAATTGGCTGTCTTTTGACTCCCAATCAAAATCTTAGTAATAACGTTGATAATGTAAATGCTTTTAACCCAGAAACACAATTTTTTAACGATATAAACTATTTATATGATGAAAATCAGAGGAATTTGAAATATTATGATCAAATTCAAATTAACAATCTGGAGTCTGTACCTGAAGTCGTTCCTGATTCTTCCAAGGCCTTCATCCCGACCGACTATCGCATTAGACCACCATCCCTATGTTTGCCTAAGCTAGGCTCTCCAGTTCAGTACTGCCTCAAACTGGTGCAACGTCTGGTATCTTTAAGCGATCCCAATATTCCTCGTGATATCGGTCCTGCTGCCCAACCTAGAGACCGAGATGGTGCCAGCGTTTGCGCTCTATCAACTGGCAGTCAGGGAACCACTACATCTCGCGACCTCTGCTCACAGAAAAGTTGTTGCTCATCCACGAAAGAAGAATTTGGTCACATAAACCAAAAACAATGCCCTAGTGTAGAATGTAGCAGGGCTCCTGATTTTTTGACTGGAAATGCCAGAATTGAATCCAATATTGATCGTGATTGTAAAGTTATAAGTGATACGCCGGAAAACTGCACGCATCAGACTCCCGAAGAAACTCTGCGAACACAAACTGCCCCTCATTCAAATAGCGACATCGTTCATTCTGATCTTGCGTACGTGGAGTCACATGAACTCTTGGAACGAAATGAATTTGACGATGCTTTGCTTTGTAAACAACTAGAACAATTCTCTATTTTGAACAGTTTTAGGCAAAGTAGATTGTCTTGAGACAGTAATACTTTGATCAGTACTCTTGAGAGCTGAATGAGTGCCTTAAAAGAGCTCTAAGCGTCTTCTGATTGAACCATTTCGTGTGTCCATGGCACTGACGACGATAGACAGCTGGCGCAATTTTACGAGTTGAAGTGCGTACCACTGTTAGCAGTAAGACTACTAGTGTAAACTTGAGTTCCTATTTACTATATTGCTTTTAAAATCGTGTATGTTTTTACGTGTCTTAAAATCTTTCTTACTCATTGGACGTGGCATGTTATGGGATGCTCATTATATTTACGTTCCTATAGATGACAATTCTGAAAATTGTTTCGTCGGTTTGTAGTTTCTGACATTTCCTCTTGCATGTATAGTCATCCTTTGATTTTCTTATTCATTAGACGTGGGATGCTCAGTATATTTACGTTTCTATAGATCAGAATTCTACAAATTCTATCGTCATTTTCCGACTTACTCTCTTGTATGTACAGTCATCCTTTATTTATTGACTCGCTTCAAATTACGGTTAAAGGAATTGTTTTTGCATGTATCGGTGCCTTTCTTGAAATTGACGTCAACAAAGGACTGAGTTTATGTTTTATAATATTACGCGTTCAACTTAGTGGAGATCGAATTATTTTATTGTTTCGAATGAGCGAATGCTTAAATAGTATATTATATTAGAGTGATGTATTTATTGTCTTTTTTTGCAACTAGGCATAGATTGTGGTGAACTTAATAGTTTAAGGTAAAATTACTACTAGCACTACGCAAACAAACATCCTGACCAATGCTCATACGTGGGCTGGCACCCGGCTGGAGTGATTGTGTGGAACGATTTTCAGAAATATATTTAAAAAGAGTTCCCAGTTCATTCACCTTTACTTAAGTTTATAGCGAATTCAAGTGCTGGAATGAAGTTTATATCATATTATTATTTGGCAAGTTTGTACCAGTTTAATTATGAAATTACCAGTTTAATTATGGCTGCTGCGCGGGCGAAAGCGCAGGGAATTTATAGAATGCTGTACCAAGCATATTCGGAACCGTCCCCTCTATTCTTTGGGGGGTCGAGTTTGGTATCCGCGACCGGCATACAGCAAGGCGATCCTTTTGGCCCTGCTTTATTCTCTTTAGGAATTGATGAGGTGGTACGCCGGGTGAGCACTGAGTTTAACGTTTGGTATTTGGATGATGGATCTTTGGGCGATAAACCAGAGACAGTTCTCCAGGCAGTACAAAAACTCGTTGAGGACTTTAGAGCCGTAGGGCTGGAGGTAAACTAGGGGAAGTGTGAACTGATCATACTGAACCATTCAAGAGAGGAAGAGCTCGAAACTGAGGAGATGTTTCGGGGGGTGTTGCCAACACTAAAAGTTGTTCCCGCCCATAAGTCACTTTTACTGTGTGCCCCCACTCCACGAGGAGGGCGTCTCCGCCGTTATCCGGGAGAAGCGGGAGGGCTTGGAGAGGATGGTGGGGCGTTTAAAATTAATTGATAGTCATCAAGCATTTACGCTTTTAAAGAATTGTTTCGCTCTACCTAAACTCCAATACGTCATACGTGCGTCTCCTGCATATACGCGGGTAGGTGATTTGGGGCGGTTCGATGAGGTGTTGGTTTCTGCCCTCTCGACCATCACCAATGTCAGCTCCGAGCGCGAATCTCTTGAACAAGCTGTGTTACCGGTCCGGCTGGGAGGTCTGGGTATCCGTATGTCAAAAGACATCGCGCTCCCTGCATTCATATCGACACTCCACTCAGTCCGTGGCCTAGTTGATGCTGTTTTACATAATGTACGACTGGCCGAGGACGACAGTTTGCAGATGGCGGTGGATGAGTGGCGCAATGGGAACGCAGGTATTGCTTTGCCCGAGGATGCGAGTTGGGGCCGGCAGAGGACTTGGGATGGGCCTGTGGCCGCGGCCACCGCAGCGAGGCTTTTGGAAGCGGCGGACCAAGTATCCAGGGCTCGTCTACTTGCAGCGGCGAAGAGAGAGAGTGGCTTGTGGCTTCACGCTATTCCTTCGGATGCTCTTGGAACACTTCTACTTAAGTTCTAGATCCCGACTCCTTCCGCGTCTCAATTGCTCTTCGAGTTGGCGCAAATGTATGCGAACCCCACACTTGTCGGTGCGGAAAGCGGATGGATGCACGAGGACTGCATGACCTTTCTTGTAAGTACAGCGCTGGATGTATTGGATAGGACGGTGAGACTTCGTCGAAGACGGACGTACGTGAGTAGCTCTCTTTAAACTAATCAATTTTGTATCTGATTCCATAGTTTGTAGGTTACTTTCACTTAACTTAGGAAGATGGGGAAGGGGAAACGTAGAAAAAAAGTAATAGCCATTCATCTGGATCGACTGATGACGATGCAGACTCAGACATGTCTCAGAGTCAGTCAATACTCATGTCCGGCCCGTCAGGTTTAGCGATAAAACATGCAGCAAACCAGAGCATCCATTCTGACTCACAGACCCAGTTCCCGAGTGGGACATGTAACAACCTTAACACTGTGGATTGTGAAGGCTCTGATTTGTGGCTAGGTTCTGAGACAATAGTGAGAACAATTGTTCAAGATCAAGACCAGACTGGAATAATGGGCAGGAGTCACCCGTACAAGAGCAAAAACCACCCGTCAACGAGGGTCAATTTTACCCGTGGCCATGTATAATTTCACCCGTAGCCAATGGCCATGGTTTTCTTCACCCGTGGCCATGGATAAATTTA